CGCAAGGTTCAGATCTGTTGTTTCTAGGGTCATTATGAGTGGTAATAGACTCAGTGTGCCCCTAACAATGACAACAACAATAAAACAAGACTGTTGTGATAATATGCACACATAATACAACTTAGCACAGTGACTGGACACATAGTAAGTGAACAATAAATGTTAGCTCTCTTTGTTATTCTTTCTTCAGGAGCTTAAAATTGGTAAAAAGACACAAACATACACACATAAAGAAACTCAAAACTGAACACATCTAACACAATAATTTTAAGAGATACTCAAAGAATTTTATGAGAATCCTATAGTAACTTTCCTCCACTCCCAAAACACACATATATACACTAAAAACATTATAGCCAATGCACTCACAAGTAATGTTGTACTCATCTCTATTCACAGCATGCTATGACTATGACTAAGAACTACCTATATTAAATACACATCATCAACAGGGTCTACATCACAGTGAAATTAAAAGAGATGGATATTGTTGTCACTCTTAAAACAAACATATTACCATAAGCCTAGTATTTAAACTGATTTAAAGGGGTAAAAAAAGCCCCACATTTTAATTTATATTAATGTGCAAAAATTCTGAGAAAAAGAAACAAAAAATTTTGGCAAATAGCACCAATCTTACTATGACTAATTCAACACAAGGTTAATAAAGTGAATTGCAAAAATATCAAATTTCAAAACTTCTGTTCCACCAAACTAGTGAACTTCTAAAATATTATACACAAAAGCAGATAAGCTGCCCTCATGGGGAAACATGTTATCTTTTAAAAGTTACAATATAACAAGGAAAACTAGGTAGAGAAGAGAGGGTAAAGAGAAAAGAGAATATCCTTCACAGCCTTGTAAACAGTTCCACATACAAATATAAATAAATATATTAAATATTACAAAACAAAAGTTTCTAACTATTGGAAAATTGATTCAAGTAGCCAATTAAGTGGCTAACAGTAGGTGAGATGATTTGCTTTTAAGCCTTGTTACATGATAATCAGAAAAAAGTCTGAAGTTTAGGTAGCACTGCAACTTTACAATCAATCTTTGCAAAGGAAATAAATACACAAGTATGTGCAGAGACTTAGTAAAACTGTCTAGACAACTTCTAGATTGTAATACAATGTTAAGAAGCTATCAGATATGTTTGAGTGTATGGTAATGACAATAGTTAAAAGCAAACTATAGGAAAACTTAAAAGGTGAATATTAGCTCTAGTGGAATAGTGGATAGAGCATTGTGCTATCAAGACAAAGGTAGTCAGTTCAAATCCACCTGCTGCTCCTCCTATGCGATCTAGTCTCTGAAAACTCAGTGGGACAGTTAATTATGAGTTAGTTCCAACTCAATGGGAATGAGAGGGATTTAGGATTTAACACATATCTTAAGCTCCAAACATGCTATAACATGTAATTTAACCAAGTAAATCTAAAGCTTAAGTTTTCTATAGAATATTTAAGCTGAAAGGAAAGACTAAGTAAATATTACCATCTTGAATAAGTTATTCAAAACTAGAGTCATGTATTCTTGGCATCCCTTCCCTACCTTCTAAAGAAATATCCTCCCCTACAATTTTGTACCACATATTCTCTGAATTATCAATTGGTTTTGATGTGTGCCATCAAGTTGGAATCAACTTGGCCTTCTGTGGAGCAGCTGGTGGATTTGAATGGCATGCCTTTTGGTATTGCAGCACGGCTTTTTACCACTAGGCCAACAGAGAGCCATGACAATACCCATTTTGCTACATGTAATTCTATAAAAAATTAAGACAGTTTAGAAATGGTTATGTCTTGTCGATCCATAACTAACTTTTAGCTGACCCTCCAAGCAGGTTTTCAGAGGCCATAAATCATATGGCAGGAGATTGCTCATCTTTCTTCCTGAGACTGGCTGGGGGATTCAAACTTACTGCCTTTGGGTTGTCAGCGCCAACTCCTTACCACTCAGACACTTTAGAAATAGGACTTAGAAAAAGACTATCAAATTGTTGTTGTTGTTATGTGCCGTCAAGTCACTTGCGACTCATAGCGACCCTATGTACAACAGCCCTAAACTCTGCTCTGTCCTGTGCCAATCGCACTGCCTCTGACACTCCCATCCCAATTATCCCAGTCACTGAAATCAATCCACCTCATAGAGGGCATTTCCCTCCTGCGCCGTCCCTCCACCCTCCCAAGCATGATGTCCTTCTCCAAGGATCGGTGTCTCCTCACATGTCCAAAGTATGTTAGACGGAGCCTCAGAATCCTTGCCTCCAAGAAGCCACCCAGTTTAACACTTTCCATGACGAATCTGTTTGTGTTCCTAGCAGTCCATGGTATTCCAGCACCACAGCTCAAAGGCATCAATTCTCCTCCTATCCTCCTTCGTCATTGTCCAACTCTCTGATGCATAACAAGTGATCGTGAAGACCACGGCCTGTATCAAACGCACCTTAGTCTCCAGAGAGACACCATTGCTCCTCAGTACTTTGGAGAGGTCCCTAACAGCAGACTTTCCCATGGCAATGCGCCTTTTAATTTCCTGGCTACTGGTGCCAAGAGTGTTGACTGTGGAGCCAAGCAAACTAAAGCTGTGTACAATCTCAATCTCTTCACCATCCATCCTGATGCTGCCAATTGGTCCAGTAGTGAGAATCTTTGTCTTGACATTGAGCCTCAATCCATATTGTAGGCTGCAGTCCTTGACCCTCTGCAGCAGGTGCTTCAAGTCCTCTTCAGTTTCAGCAAGCAGGGTTGTGTCATCCGCATAACACAGATTGTTGATAAATCGTCCACCAATCTTGACCCCACATTTCTCCTCATAGAGCCCAGCCTCCCGGATAATTTTAAAAGAAATGTACTGGAGCTCTGGTGGCCTAGTGGCAAGAAGCTGTACTGCAATCCCAGAGGTAAGGGGTTCGAATCCACCAGATACTCTGCTTGAGAAAGAGGGGCAATCTTTTCCTGTACCAGTCAGATCTGATTCGGCGGTACACACACAAAAAAAACAATAAAAGAAAATAAAAAATAATTTTTAAAAAAAGTGCTTGCAGTTCTGTGGTTTCTGAATGGCACAAATGGTCAACTATTTTACCACTTGCCAAAAGGCTGATGTCTCAAACCTGTCCAGAGGCACCTTGGAAGACAGGTCTGGCTACCTGCTTCTAGAAGATCACAGTCTTGACAACACTATGAAATAGTTCTAACCAGGTCACCATGAATGGAAGTAGAACTGACAGCCACCAACAACTACAAAGACTTCCCTTCTTACCTCAGTTGCTATCACTCTGCATTGCAATTAGATACATATCTGAATCTCAAATTGACTCTGACAGGGATTGTTTTCTTATTCTCTTCTGTATGCCCCAAGCACCAGAAATGAGAAGACATATAACAATTATCTACTGGACAGAATCAACACAGTGACAGCCATTTCAATTAAGCAGATCAAAATTTCAAAATTATCAAAACTATACTTACATAAGGGAGCTCTGGTGACTTAGTGGTAAGGAGATGCACTGCCAACCCAAAGGCACATGGTAGCTATTAGTCAGTTCTGACTCAAAGGTACACAATAACAACATATTGGCATATCAATGTATATTTATAGGACTTATTAAAGTTCACATGTAATTATAATTTGTAGATTATAAGAAAACTTCATGACATGTTTTAATGGGTTTTTTTAACCTTAAAATGAATTTTTCAAAATTCAGATTTTTCAAAGTTCAACCTCAGTGTGTTACTAAATATCCTAGAATGTAGTTTACATAGCCTGCTACCACCAATCTAAGAACAACTGATTCAATTGATACTATTCCAGTGCCTATATTCCACTTATTCTTACTTCTGCCCACACCCTACCTACACCAAGACATTTTTTAAAGTCATTAAGAGCCTCCACTGTAAAGAAAACAGCGGTCTTCTCTAAAAACAATACAAATTACTAATTTTAATCACTGACTTTCCTCTTAACTTTACAACAATCTTAACACCTACAGTGAATTTAAGAGTTTTTATTTTAAAAGAATTTTAGTATTAGTTTATCAGTTTTATTTCTAAGTCTGGAGTTAAGTTGAAAAGTAGGTACACTGTTGGCATTTTCTTCCATTACAGCAAGTATAATAAGCGTAGCAAGTCACACTGTAGGACAATTTAGAGCAGCACGGAGTGGACAAAAGGAGAAAGACAGCAGTCCCCTCCAAGATTTACAGCCGTGGAACTCCAATGGAAGGTCGCTATGGGTTGGAATCGACTGGATGCCGGTGAGTTATAAGACTCACATCAGATGACAAACTGTGGTGCCACATGTACACTGTCCTCAGAGGTTCCGAGAGCTCGTTCCAACCCACTTCCCAAGTGATGTAATAGGCTTCTAGAAACTAAACAGAAGATCCTCCCCTCTACTGGGTTTCTCCAAAGCGTAAAAAAAACCCAAAAAACAAGTGGCCTAAATCCAGAAGCATTCGGGTGCACAACTGAAAGCCCAACTGTTGAAAACAGGAGGGGAGGCTAAGGAGCAAGTCTTAAAAGGGGTCTCTCAAAACAGTCTCACACTGACCTGACAACGTACACTTAACACGCCCCCCTTCACTGCTGGCCCAGTGGAAGCGAGAGGATTCAGACCACAAAACCCCCTCTAAGAGCCTGGGGTGAGGTGGCGCAGAGGGGAAAGGGATCAAAACAGACTCTGGGATTCCCGTAAATGAGTTTTAAGAGAAGAGCATGAGTGTGAGTTACCCACGTATACCCAGGGCACTGCATTCAACAATTGTTCACTGACTGAAGGAAGGAATGAATAAATCTCAGTCCCTGGGACGAGACTTGGGCTGCGAGCACACGTCTGCAGCGATCTCCACCTCCGAGCCGCCCTTCATCACCAGTTTTCCTGACCCGGCAGGCAGGTCGTTCTCTTCTGTAGCCTCAGGCGGCAGCAGAAACCAAAGGTCAGCTCAAGCCCAGGCCCAGGCGGAGGCCTCTCCAACCCAGCACCCCAGCAGCACTCACCATTGGTGTAGGGAGACCCCGAGGTCGAAGCGGCCCCGTTCTGGGCCTGGAGGCCGGTAATGGTACCACCAGGGGCCGGTATTCCCGGCTGGGACATGACGGCAGCGGTTATCGGGGTTGGAAGGGGATGGTGGGGGTCGGCGACCGGGAGCAGCGGATAAGTAAAAACGAATACAGAAAAGAGGGAAGGGGGGAAACAATTTAGGATTGAATACGAGGAAGTGAGAGGAAAGAGCGTCAAGCCCGAGGCATGGCGTCGTACTCTTCGCAGCCCTGCGGCAACCACTGCCCAGCTCGTAGCTAAGGCTTGCAAGTCGTGCTGTTAGGGCTGGGAACCGCGGGCCGAGGATCGCAGCCGAGCCGAAAAGGAAGGAGGCACGTCACGGCCGGAAGTGCCTGTCAGCCGCCGGTCACGCAGGCGCAGTCGGGACACGTGGCACTTCCGGTTTCGGCTCGCCTGAGTGATTGCTGGCACTGTAGTCTCTTGGCTGGGCTATCCAAAAGCCACCTGACAACTAGGGTGTCCTGGGCTGAAGGACCGTGACTGGCCTTGCCTGCCACGTCACTGGCTCCCACCGCTGGCCGGAAGCAGTGTGTGTCACCGTTACGGAAATCCCCGCCGTCATAAACGTCATCTCATGGGCCAGGCAAGGCTGGGAAGGCTGTAAGGAATCCAGTTTCTGTTTTCCTAGGACAGGACTGAAGGTTTCTCTCGTGGATTTTTCAGTAATTGCAATAGGCATTTGTCACCCTCTCGACATTCAAAATGATTATTAAACTTTTGGTCGCTGAGCCGATTTGGGTTTATCACTCTATTTTACTTTAACATGTTGTCGTATTCTAGGCGTAAATTTGCTTGGAAAAGTAGAGTCATCGAGAGAGAGGAATATACTCAACGAGATGGGTTGACATGGTGACTGCACTAGTGTTGAGCATGGCACAAAATGGGGCAGTTTCAGTCTGTTGTCTCAGTCACTTGACTCGTCAGTAAACAGCAACAGGTGTAAAGTGTAAGTGAATTGGGGGTTTTTAAGGGTGGTTGTACGTGTGATAAAAGTATAATCAAATCGAGGAGGAGACCTATGCTTTTTGGCTGGAGAAATTAATTTTTGGTTTGAAACTCAGTGATTGATTGCATAGTAACGCGAAAGTTTTTTTAACAACACATTGATCAGTGATTTGAATGGCAGCTTTATTCCTCCTAAGAGTTTACAGTTAGGTAAAGAACTCAAACTTCCTTATTGGGCAAATAAACTCTTTTGACTTTTGAGACCAGATATAGAAACTAGAGTGCTTAGACATCATTATTAATTAGTGATCTTGGTAATCTTCTTAGGTTTTTCCTTCCCTGAACAGGTCAGCAGGTCTGTGAAAAATTACAGATTGATACTTCTGATTAAAATACTGTGCCACAGTTGGTATCATTTAACCTAACTCATTTAACATAAAATATTAGTATAATTGCATAGAAAACCAAGAAATTCTAAAACATCATGACAGGCTAGAAAAACAAACAGTAAAAATTCATGTAACTAAATCTTTGATTTTTTTAATTAACCCTTTTTCTTTTACCATTTGCCTCAGTACCTTTCTAAAATATATTTGCCATAAGTTGAATTCAACACTCTGTTTGTAAAAGATCCAAGTACAAAAGTTTGAATAATAGGCAAGCATCAGTAGATTCAAAAACATAGAAATAATACAAGCCATCTTTTCAGACCATAATGCCACAAAATTAGAAATTAATAATAGGATGATAAAGGAGAAAAAACCATGATGTTTAGAATTGGAACCCTGATTCACTGTTGGTGGGAGTGTAAAATGGTGCAACCCCTGTGGAAAGCAGTATGGCGCTTTCTCAAAAAGTTGCAAATAGAGATACCATTTGACCCAGCAATTCCACTACTGGGAATATACCCTGAAGAGACCATAGCTGACATCCAAGCAGATATATGCACACCCATGTTTATTGCAGCTTTGTTCACAATAGCAAGGAGTTGGAAACAACCTAAGTGCCCATCAACAAACGAATGGCTAGAGAAGCTGTGGTATATTCGCACAATGGAATACTATGCTGCATTAAAAAACAAGGAACTCATGCAATATTATTCAAAATGGTTGACTCTGGAGAACATTATGCTGAGGGAAATATCCCAGTCACAAAAGGACAAATATTACATGATGCCACTGTTGTAGAATGGGACTGTCCTTGGGGTTGGGGAGAGACTGAGTAAGATGGGTTCAATAATGTATACTGCACTGAAACAGAGGAGGGAGAAAACTGTTTAAAAGAGATATATAACTAGGTATTTCTGTCATCACAGGAGACTAGAGCGAGGGCTACATGGTGGAGGGGACCTGGGGGAGGGTCTGTAAAACAATGAAAGAATCTTTTCTTTTACTTTTCCATATTTTTGGACTCATGTACTTATAACTTGTTAGTCAAATTTGTGTCTTCTAGGTTGCAACACCCCCATGATACATCTTCAAGGTTATGAACATGTACGGCCAAGCACAATCAATAAGAGTGCATCTAAATCCCAAAATCAATCTCCATAATAGTCTATGTGTTTCCTACTGCCAAAGGGGCCCTTTAGAGTAGTGAGAGAAGATCTTCACCCTGAAACCCACAGCGTCCCTTTTCAGCAGGAAGTAGCTAAGAGAATACGCCGTCCCCTTTTCCTTATGACTCAGGGTGAAGTCTCTCTCAGGGAGGAGTGATAGGGAATGGCAAAGGACACACTGACAAAGAAGATTAATCAGAACTGGCTTTGACAAGCACTGTGGCATTTGGACAAGAACAAACTGGGAGGAGGGTAGAGAGAATAGTGCAACAAGGAATGAATGGAAACCCAAAATCTCTGTAAATGTTTATGAAAATAAAATATGGAAAGAAAAAAAAAAGTTTGAATAAAAATACTTGGGTCAAACTGCTTTCAATTTAGAACCCTGACAACTAAATCCAAAATCATACACCTCAAGAACATTTAGAAAGATACTCAAACACAAAGCTTTCAACGTTTTAAAGAGAAAATAGACTTGAAGGAAAGGGAACTTTCCTGAGGTCAGATATAAAGTCAGAGTCACTCTTCAAAGAGGCAAATGCTTACATCTGAGCTCAGAGTTGTGTTCATTTCATTTTCTTTTTTATGCAATTCCTGAATGGCCTTGGTTTGTTGACTTTGGCACAGGGACTTTGATTAAATCAAATCACAGTTTCTTGTACTTTGTCCTCTTTAAGCAATAACTCTGTGTTGAGAGAAAGCTGATGGAACAGATTAGCCATTTTTAAAAGTAAATGACCTGATTAGTTAAATCAAGTTTAATAGACATAAGTGACCAATAAATAAGTGAACAATGCTTTTTCCAAAATTAATTTCACTCCTAAATTCTCTATTGCTGTTGTTCCAAGAAAATCGTGTGGTATTGTTGTGTGCCATCAGGTCAGAAATGACCCATAGCTGACCCTCTTGGAGGTTTTCATAGGCAGCTAATTGCTTGGGAGAAGATCTCTCATCCTTCTCCAATGGAGCAGCTGGTGGATTGAACTGTTTGCCTTTTGGATTGCAGCTTCTTACTACTAGACTACCAGAAATCCCTAAAATGATGAGGTTTTTCAAATTATTTTTTTCATTTTTTTATATGGTCTGCTTTAAAATGTTGATGAGAAAAACAACATTTGTCTTGCTGCATTTGTCCAGTGGAGCATCACTAGAAAATAGTAATTTTTTCAAACACTACAACAGGGAGCATTCTAGAGCAAATTGTTCTGAGTGACGTAAGCCACAGAAGGACAATTCTAAGACCACTATTATAAAAAGCAAAATCATTCTTGGATGGTTACCATGGAATAGTAACCTCCCTGGAGGTAAGAACTAATATGTTGGGTGAAGGAGAAAGCAATATAAAATAAGGGTTTGATTGGACATTGTAATTAATTACTCTGTTTTCCTAGTAGATAGGAAGTTATGCTACCAAGCCAAATGTGGGTGATTTTAATCTGCAGCCCACAGTCCTAGTTTTAATTGGTTTTGGTCAAATATTCTAAGTGGTATAGCACTGGTCTGTGCATTGCTATACATAGGTAACTCGTGGTTGCTGTGATGCTAAACACTGTGACACTGATGTGTCAAATGCGATGATGGTTACCCATGGTGGACAGTGTTTGTGGATCTCCCTGATTAAAACAAGCTTGGAAGCAGGAGTGGCATCCACTTCCAAAATAGCTTGCCTCCAGAAACTCTATGAACTTTGAGAAACGATGAAAGTTATACAGATGTTCAGGTTATTTCATTCATCGCTATGAGTCGTCTAAGACTTGATGTCACTTAACAACAACAAATGTAAGAAAATAAATATAAATGATTGAAAAACCTGTGTGTTCTGTACATTAAAAAAAAAAATTTAAAGCTTCATTGTCATCTATTTAACCTCAAGGATAGAAAAAAAAGAAATTTAAGTGAGGTCAAACATTTTCATAAAAAGTCATTTTCATAATCAGTATTATCCACACTGTATCATATCCATCTCTAAATTCTTATAGTCACATAAATATAACAAACCATTTATTTTTTTTCTCTTAACCCGGTTCTTGTTCAGTTTATTTCAACCGCTGATGACCCCATGCATTTCAGGGTAGAATTATATTAAGTGTTTTCTATGATTGTGACTTTTTTTTTTATTGCAACCTTTTGTAAGTAAACCTTCAGTTCATTTTACCAAAGCTAACCTTGCTGAAAGTGAAGAGGCTTTGAAACACTGAAGAAGATCAAAGACTGTAGCCTTCAATATGGGTTACAACAAAATAAAAAGAATAAAAATCCTTACCACTGTGAGACAACATTGTGAAAGATGGAGAAAAGATAGAAAATTGTCAAGGATTTCATTTTATTTGGATCCCCAGTCAATACCCAGGGTAACAGCAGTCAAGAAATCAAAACAACTCTCCTCCTGGCAGCAGGCCAAAAGGTTTGGGTCCACCCCTGAGTTTCCAGAGGTTTTTCTCCCTTTGCTTCACATTTCTCTTTAATTCCACACAGCCTTTCTTTAACCAACCATGCCGCCTTATATTACCTTAATACACCCTTTTCACTTGTT